AGGACATTAAGGCACAAAATCAATTAAGAATAAATTCAATTTTAGGGTTATTTGTGCTGGTTTATAATAGGATTCCTAGCACAATTACTCAAAACGAAGACGTCAAGTTTATACGGTCACGACAAAGTACATTATATGAAAGAAGAAAGAGAAAGAGACAAGACTTGTGATATCTTATCCACCAAGTGTAAGTAGGAGATGCTAGGTTATCCACCATTAGTAGATTAGCCCAATATATAAGCCTATGGGCCTTTACCGCAAATATGAAAGAGTCTAGATTCTTAAGCATAATATTCCCTAGGCCTTTGTATGCAAATAACCCTATTGTTCAATTTGTTGGATTGGAGGGAACGGTTTTTTTTTTTTTGAGTAACCTCCCACATCCGAAACCAACGCATATATAGGGGCCAGTTCAGGGTTCAAGATAATGGAATGTATTTTGCTTGTTTGATGAATCTTTTCAAGTGACATTCTTTCATATTATCTCCCGCTCAAAACCCTTTTTTCATTTGTGTATTTACTGTGAGTCAAAGAACTAAGTCCAACCCTATGATTAAGTTCTTGCATTCGGCATACCCTTCGGCACTACATTATAGGCACGCATTCCTCCTTCGAATCTTACATTGTCCGATGCCACATCTCTAAGTCTACATACTTGCTCAAGGTCACACCTAAGTGTGTATATATATACACTAAGGCTTTTACACATTTGAGCAATATAGGATTTTACTTTTTGACTATATTAAAAGAAATATTATCATCTGAGTTATTCATATGGAATATAATCATTTCAAATCTGGTGTCTTTTGGACTATGAACTAGACCTAGACTAATACTACTTAGCATACAAAGAAGTTAGTAAAGCATGCTTCATATATTCCATGTGAACTTGAAAATTCAAATTTTTACAACTAAGTATTCATAAATTTACAACTTTATGTTCATATATTAATAAGTAATTATTCATTGGTAGCGAACATAAAATTCTTTCTTTCTTACTAAAGGTAATTTTGTCTTCTCTCCCTAAAATATATTTGCAAAAAAGACCTTTAAACCTGTAGAATAATTTCAAAATGCATTGAGCCCTAGTGAAATTGTTTTCCCTTAGGAGCCTTAAATGAAATTCTCCCTTTTCAATTTCTTCAATGTATCTATATATATATTCACATTAGTAATAACTCTCGGTCAAAACGCTAATGAATACTCCCTCCATTCAAAAATGTAAGGCATTTTTAACCGAATCTCATCCCCCAATAAAATAGTTATCTACTTTTAAACTAATCCTATCTTTTCATATTCATTCTTATTAAATACCGTACAATAAATATAAAGTCATTATCAATAGGGACATTTTTTGAAAAAAGACAATGATTACACCTTAAAAGACTAAAAATGACTTGCATTTTTTAGCATCCAACTCCTCAAAAAATGACTTATATTTTTGAATGTAGGGAGTATATGTTAAATCTTGCATCGTCCCAAAACCAACATATCTCACAAATTAATATTTGCTTTCAAAATAAAATTCTACAACTTCAACGGTAACAACTTACACATTGATAAGCCATGGGATCAAAATAGCTTACACATGATAATATGCACATGTATAACTAGATATACTATCATCGACGCCTTAAAAATTATGCATCAAAAGAAAAGATTGCATGCCATCAAATTAGAATTTCACATCACCAATAAATTCACCGTATAACATATCAAGGCATGCACCAAATTTACACCACCCCTAATTACAAACATTTGATTCTCAGAAAATTATTAGGCTTGTCAATTGACATATATACGAAATATATCGCGGAAAAGTGCAACTCCTGCCAATTAATGTCAACAAAACATCATTGCAATTTAAGTATAATAAATTCTCATCATTTCAGATTATTAACCATAAATACCTCAACTCATTACAGTTGTTAAATAGGTCTGGTATCAATCACTTGATAATAGCTTTAAATTTATTCCTTAAATTACAGCTTAGTCAACACAATGATCTATAGTCTCGTTTGATCATCAGTCATTGCCATTTGCCGCGGAAAAAAGATTCCAGCCACATGCTCCCAGTCTTATTATAGGCCTAAAAAATCATTTCCGAATTTATGCCGATTCCCAACTACTAAACTAGCGATACAAACAGTAATTTCAAGATGCATAAAGGTATAGATACCGGAAACAGAAATAAGACCTCAGGTTTGCGCAGATGGAAGACCTGCAATGGAGCAATTAGATTCTGTCAAGCTATGCATTCCAAGCTATGATGGGGTCGACTTCCAGAATCAATTTTGTAGCCTGAGGAACGCTAATGCTCACCTTGTACAACAACATGTCACTTTTCTCAATTAACTAGTTATGTAGTATTCATATTGGAGTGTTCCACTCAAATGCAACATTACTGAGATCTTAAGTGAGTTGGGTTTTTGGGACAAATTTGACACTGTTAGTGTTCATATTCATCATTGCATATCTCAACTTATGGTTACTCACGAGCACCCCAAACCCTATTTTGTTCATATATAAATATCATCGAAACTCACCGCCTCACCATGTGCCTCCACCATGTCCAAACCCACCGCCAATTATATCTATCAGGTTTAGTATAGCCTGATCACCAATTAGATCCCTACATATTTTAAAAAACAACAAATCCATCTGGGCAGCATCCTAAACAATTCCTGAGAGAAAAATAGGAAATGGATTTTGTTGTAAAGCTTTTAAAGCTTCTGAGACAATTTTCTTGAAGAATGAAGTATCTCTTGCGAGACTAATGATCGATCGCAGCAGATGAGAAAAAGTAGCCCTTCCGTTGTATGCCTACTCTAGAGAATCAAAATGAATCCCAACGCTTGAATTTGCAAGCCATTATGGACGTCCCTCTCCTCTATCCTAAAATAAAATGGCATCTGTTGTAAAAAAAAAAAAAAAAACTGTCCCGAATCATGTCTAAGGACATTGTTTTTAAAAACAATTCTGGCACATATGTCAGAACTCTCCAGAATTAAGTGAAACTCTTCTGTAAAATGAATTGGATGACAGAACAATAGAAATACAGAGTAATCCAAGAGAAGCACGAAGTGGGGAGAAAAGGAGAGTGCCCAAAAGATTGAGGCGGTGATCAACTACTATGTGATGTACACCAGCTTTTATAGGTAAAAGCTCATGAACACTGGGCAATTATCACTAATTAATGATACCTTGATGCAATTAAAAGAACGGTTTTAAAGAATAATGGCATTTAAATTATAAGTTACAAAATAAATAGAGTTAACTAATAATTAATATTATTAATGAAAATAAAAATTATTTTTTAAATATATGAAAATATTTAAAATTTCCAACAGATGCTTCTCCCATTCTGCTGGAGCAAAATGTCTATCGCCTTTTGGTCTCAAAATTGGGCTTATTTTGTTTTCACTATTGTTGGAATGTTGATAAGAAAAAATTGATGAGTTTATTTAACAATTTATTTTAAAAACAGTTTTCTATTTTTTAAAATAAAAACAAAAATATATGTAGTAATATATTTTTAGAAAGTGTTTTAAAGATTAAAAAATCAATATTATTATGAAAAATAGAACAATAGAAATATTTTTAAATATTCTAGTATTATTTTTTTAAAGAATAAGAACAAATAATAAAAAATACTTGTTTTTTTTTTTATTTTCAAAACATATTCTATAAAATACTAATTTTAAGAACAATAAAAAAAAAGTTTCAAACAAGCCCGATATTTCCAAAATTCCCTAATAGTTAAATCAAGAAATAGCTAGTTGATAAAAAAAATCAAGAAATAGCTAGAAATTAAGGGCTTTTTGTTTTCAGTTTTTAAAAACTATTTTTCCTTTTGAAAAAAAATTTTAAAATTTTTTTGTATAAGTGTTTTTGATTTAATCATTTCTAAAACTATTTCCATGTTTTGTTTTTAAAAATAAAAAATAGAAAAAACATCAATTATTTTTATTTTATTTTTCTTATTTTTAAAATATAATGTATTTGATTATTAAAAATTAAAATTATTTTGATTAATTTTTTTTCATAAATTACCATCATTAACGGTTTATATCCATTATTGTCAGTCTATTTTTAATTCTAGAACAATTTTTAAATTAACATAGCCAAAAAAAATTTATTTTTTCTCTTTTTTAGAAAAAAAATTGGAAACTGTATTATAAAATAGTTTTTAAAAGAAAAAAAAATGATAACAAAAGCCAAACAAGCGCTAATTGTTGTCAGGATTACATATTATTCCAAACCAGATAATTAGCATGTGTCTTTTTCATGCAATGTCTTCGTCTAAACAACTTCACATACGTAATGTAACTCGCTTTAGTTTTTTAAATTAATTAGAAGAATATTCAAGACTATAATTTGATTGATCTAAAAGTCAAAACCGTTTTTGCCACCCAGCATTTCAAGTCCTTCACGTTTTTTTCTTTAGGATAAAGGTATAAAACAATATTTTCAGACAAGAAATGGGTGGGCCTCTATGTTTTTTCACATTTTTTAAAGGTATATTTGAGACATGGTTGGCACTAAATGTAATACTTTTTTTTGGCAAAAATTTAAACCTTAATTCATCATGTTATAAAGAACAAGCTCATTCAGTTAAACCCAATTCATTTTGATATGGGTGGGCTCTATACTTGACTGATTGATTATAAAAAAAATGTCTAATTAAAGATGTAATCATAAAATACTCATCAAGTTCTCCACTTTCTTTTTTTCTTTGTTTTTTTTTTAATAGAGTTCTCCACTTACTTTAATTAAGAGCTAAGAAATATCGGTTGAAAGTAAAAGTGATATTTAATCTACAACATCCACATCCATTAACTTAATTTAAGTCATCACAAACTCTTTATATTAAAAGAAAGTGATGATTGAACATCCACTAATAGAAATAATTGCATTAAAGGATCACTAATTGCCGAACCCTAAATAATGGATCATGATTTTTAGATGGGGTTAAAAAAATTAAATTGACAAAAATGGCCTTTTCTTAAAACATTAAAAATTCCCAAACAATAATAATGTATTCTCAAACAATAAGCATGTTTTCCTTATAGTTATTACTGTAGAAATCTATTATACAAATTTATTATGATTATAGTGATTAGTAATCACTCCACAAAGATATTATAGCTTGGATACATATCACAATTTAAAAGTCAACAAATTTCTTTTCTTTGAAACTTTCCACCATTTCTTTGAGACTCGATTCAAATGGAATGAACTCAATTCCCAACATTTTTGCCTTTTCCTTAGACATTTGATATGTTGGCATGAAGGGTTTATCATCTTCACACCTGATAAATATGATAAAGAAATGGTATTAGCAATTGTCATCAAACACAAAAACTTAAATTGGAAAAAATACGCAATCTCCTATATATAGCAAAATTAATCAAAATGCTAGAATCTCTAGAAAGTAGAAAAATAAAAGAAATTAATATTGATCTCATATATACGGTGGTATTATAACCATTTTTCATTGGGGTAGAAAATGGCATATAATTAATTTGATCATTAACATTCTAGCTAGGAAAGAGATAGTGATTACAACAGATTTATAGGAGAAAAAAAAAAGCAACTAATATATCTTTCTCACACAAGCATTGTAGAAATAATAAAATAAAAATGGGCTTACTTGTCAGGAAGTTGTAATGTTGGGTATAATTCATGCAAAATCTTTACGATTTCTGAGTAATGCTTCACTGATTCAACCAAACAAAATCATCCGCTAGCTGAAGGAATTTCAAATGCTTGAATGTGGGCATTTGCAACATCTTTCACATTGATCCATCCAAAACTACTATTTGGAAATGTCTCTGCGCCTACATCAAGTGAGGATGGAAAGAGTCATGATCTAAGAAGTAAAAGCAATGACAGCAATAAGCCTTATTCTTCCAAATAATATTAGCAATATGAATTGCATGATGCTGATGGGATCTAACTAACAACAATATATATATATATATATATATATTCAAGTCCAAAGTAAGAGCTAAAAGGAACAAAAATTCATTTGGAAAATGATGATGCCAAAAAATATGTTTGTTTTACGTTTGTGATTCATATCTCAAAACTTTTCTTTCTACCATTCCGTGACATAAGGCATTGTTTTATCAAATCCTAAGTTTCAATATATGAAGATCATAGAATTCCAAGAGCAATTAATAACTTTTCACCTAAAATAACCCTAGAAACATATCAAAATAAATAGGCATAACTTATTTATTTTGACATGCTTCTAATTCTAAATTAAGTTTTTGTTTGGTTTTGTTATGCTTCTTTCAAACTAATTTTTTTTTGGAGTTTCTATATAAAATTCCATAACTTGCTCCCTTGTATTTACTGATTTGAATATTCAAAATTATTATTGTCTATTTTTTCATATTCTTCTATTCTAACTCCTCTCTTCTCGGTTTAATTTGTCCTTTTATTCCCTCCATTTCTCTCTAATTTTCCTTTCTCTTCTCTCTTTTCTTCCATGTCCTCCATCACATGTATTCCTTCATTCATCACAGTGTATCAATACAAAGATATCCCTATCCAAGCTATATAGTTTGAATTTCGGTGTCTCAATATGCAAAGAAAAAAGGATTATACAAGGAAATGACATGTTGTTATTCTTTATACCGAAAAAATATAGTTAAGAAAAGCTAACTTGGAAGTGATCAAAATTCACTTAATGATGGAATCTCAATTGAAATCATAAAGAAGTTCAGTTACAAGTGATTCTTTAAGTCTTAACTATTTTATATTATCATAAGACTTCAAAGCATCATTTTTTCTTATACATAATCACTCTTATATGGAGTGTGTGTGTGTGTGTCTAATTAAAGACATAATTAAAGACGTGCTCTAAAGGTAATTAATAAATTAAGATTACCATTTAATAGAATTAAAATTGCTTGAACAGATGTATTAAGTGCCGGTTGCAAGAGAGGTCCTATCACCATTGATGGATTGAGAGCAACCAAGTCGATGTTGTTTTCTTTTGCGAATTTCCAAGCAGCTTCTTCAGCCAAAGTCTTGGAAAGAGCATACCCTGACCATTCCTAAAAAAGCAAATTATACATATAACAATGGCATAATAAAATACTGTAAATCACAAATACGCTATGTATACTTCAAAATACTGTAAATCACAAATACGCTATGTATACTTCAAAAACTAGATTCGTCAATGAATTGGTAGAATTACATTACTGTTTACAGTTAGCGTTCAGACTTTGGTTGAACTAGTATAATTTCATTAAGATGTTTTTATTAATTATATGCTAACTACTTTAAATAAAAAGACTAAAAATAATAGGAAAAAAAGCAACTATATGAAAATTAAAATGAATAAAGAAAAGAAGAAAAATGACTTAAGACAATATACATTTCTAATAAAAAAGAAAAACAAACTAATACTGTTTATTTAAAATATAATTTATAAGTTTATATATAATGAAGGGTACTTAGTTCAACTCGTCGTGGGAGTTAATTAAAATAATTTATTCTATGATATTGAGTATGAATCCTAAAATATGTCATTAAATTAAATAAATATTCTAAAAATATTGCTGAGGCACCCATAAAGTCTCTATTAGTAATGGCATTTTGAATAATCTCAATTGTATCAATCATAGTTTGAAAACCAATAACCCATCTTTTTGATTGGGAGAATAACAAAGAGATCTCAAAAAAATTAATTAATTTAAATTAAGTTTTAAGTATCAAACTTTAAAAATTTATAACTGAATTTCTCAATTTTACAATTGCGTTATAATAAATTTACAACTTCTTTTTTAAATTTTAACATGATTTTTTCTATTAAAATTTTAAAAATAAATTATAAATTCATCACAATATAATTATAAAAAAATAAATATTAAATTACAAATTTATAAAAATTTAATATTTAAAATTTAATTTAAATTAATTAATCCTTTAAGAAGTACTGTCATCCTCCTGTCCTTGAATAGTTAGTTTTCAAATGGTTCATGTGCATGTATCTCCTAAGGCGTGCGTACTAGGAAGGGAGAAATTAAAGAAATGACGTGAAGCATCGATCTCCACATAAGTGGGTCCTACTTTTCTCTTTCGCTTTAGTCACTGTATATATCCACTCATTATCTTGCCGACAAGAAAGTTTTACAGCAAGCATTGAAAACTTGTTAATTAATCCGTAGAATAATTATGGACAAGAAACACTCAGCGGCGCCAATCACTGCATTAATTAAGGCCATGTTTGGATAGACGTCCAAAATCAAGTCTAAGTCTAAAACCATTGTTTTGGAAAATCTTATCTAAACACTCCCAATTTTTTCAAACTCTAACATTTAATTACCTTTGAAACTCCAATTGGAATAAGCTATTTTTTTTTTCACCATTTGAGATTCTCAACATTATTTGAGCATTTTCCTTTTTTTTCCTATTTTTATAATTGATTCTAAAAAGTTATCCAAATATCTTCAATTATCAAAATCAATTTCAGAAAATATTATATAAACATCATTACATTTTGTTAATCAAATTATTCTACAATTATTTTTTACCAATTGAAATCCAAACACGCCATAGCATGACTGGAGAAGCCATATATGTGTAATATTCCCTTCCATCCTATCTATGATATGTGTGTTTGAGTCATTTTCCATGTGCTTAAAAAAAAAGTTATATGTAATTTGATAAAAAGTTACTCCTTCCATCCTAAATTATATAACATTTTTAAGAAAAACTCAGCGTCCTAAAATATAAGATAACTTTAATAAAAATAAGGTTTCATTAATGATACTTTTTCAATATTATTCTCCCCATACATTCTCTCTTTTTAATATTATTTTATCAATGGAGTATTAAATAAAGTACAATTTTAAAAGTTTATATTTTTGTCTTAAAAAAGTAAGATTGTAAAGTGTATTTAATAAATTTTATTGATATATCGAGATTTTATCTAAAAGTATCGTATAATTTGAAATGGAGAAAATATCAGGTAATTTGATGTGTTAAAATTCATTTCGACTTTTTAATTACACACTCATTAATTAAAGGAAGACCATGAGTTACCTTGTTATTTGTGCAAATGGGTTACCAATTAACTTCAACTCATTGTTAATTTAATTGGCAAAATCCGGGAGCTAGTAATGTTATACATACCCCATATTCCTTGCAGATATCTGGATCAGAAAACCATGTCTCATCAACTATAACGTCAGGATTTAAAGGCTTTCCATTACATAAAACTGCAGCCAAGGAAGATGTTAAAATGACTCGCTTCACTGATGGTGACTTTGCGCATGATTTGAGAACATTCAAAGTTCCCTTAACTGCTGGCTCAATAAGTTCAGTCTGAAATATATTCAAAAAGAGCAAAGTGTCTTGATTAGAAGCTTATCATTATTAATTACCATGCCCTTGATTTATGAAAATTCCCAAAATATGATGATAAGATTATCACAATTCCTTTTAACTTACTGTTATGTCCTTTAATTTATTTATTTTCATATAATTATTAATAAAACGTTGGATTTTAAAATTTGTGAGGAATAAGGGTATATATAATTGAATGAATAGAAAAAATTAACGATATATGCATGATTTAGGTTATAGAGGAACCTGAGGGTCATTGACACCAAGGAGAACAGGGGAAGCAGTGTGGAAGACACCATGACAGCCCTCAACAGCAGAATCAAAGGAACCTTCTTCCAACAGATTTGCTTTTATCAGATTCAATCTCTCCTTTGCTCCTTCAAGTTTCAGCAAGTGCTCTGTCTTGCTTGGATCATCTGCGCATAACAGAGTTTTAGGTTAATGGACTGGAAACCAACTAAACCAAACGTGTTTGAAGAGATCAATAACGTTGAGTTAATTATCAGTGAAGAATAATGAAGAAACAGACTTGGATCACGAACAGTGGCTCTGACAGAATAGCCACGAAGAAGAAGAAGCTTGACGAGCCATGAAGCAATGAATCCAGAAGCTCCTGTCACGCACACCACCTTCCCTTTTCCTGATGATTCTTCTCCGTTCCTTCCCATTGATCTCTTTCTTACTTTAATTTGTGGAATTTCGGATTTAAAATGTTGGGGGATAAAGAAGGAGGCTTCTCGATTATGCTCTATTCCCTCTTATTTATAAGGTGATTTACAAAAATAAAATAAAATAAAATAAAAGGGGATGGCAGTTTAGTCTAATAGAGGGAATTAATATAATTATGTCTTCGGTAAAATTTTTGAAAAAATAAATTGCAAGTGTTGACTCAAATAATTATAAATTGAGGAATTTCATTTCTAAATAACACATTTAAGTTCAGTTTGTAATTGAGATTCTTTTTTTTTTTTTTAACTTTCTGAATCAATTTTTATAACTTACTTTTTTAAAAAATTGTGTTAGAAACTTAACTACTATTAATTCTCTCTTTTCAGATTTTAACGTCATTCTCCCAAAATAAAAAGTGGCTCTAACTCGAAGGTGATATAAAAAAAAATAGTATGAAACAATGTTCCATGTTTATCCTTTACTTTAATAACATACTTCTTCCGGCCCTATTGATAAGGAGGGAGAGAAAAATTTTATTGTTCATATTTATACGTCTTGTGTTAAATATTTTTTATACATCATAATTTTTTCCTTTTACCCTCTATTAATGTTGGTGGGAAAAAGCATGATATTCAAATATGTATATTTTATATAGGTAAAGTTAAAAATTTATTAAATTTTTAAACAAAGTTCATGAATTCTAATACTTTAATTGGTTTTTGATGAAACATGTTAAATAACCAATAAATAGGACTAGAGGAATAGCAAAAAGAACTACTCAAATCTCTCACAACATAGCAAATTAAGATTCAAATTCTTTTTGATTCAAATTCTTTTTGAGAGAGGAACCCATATTTAATGGCCGGTTGTGTCTCAAACATGATTGTTTCTAATAGAAAAATACTTATAAATAAAAAAAAATAGGACTAGAGGAGAATACATTTTCCTAATATGTGTGAAAAAATTTTGCCTCTAGTCTAAATTTATAAGGAAGGAATAGATTTTCTTAATCCTATTTATAAAATATCTCGTGGACATGTATGAAAAAAATATGCCATTAACATTTTATTACAAGTTTTTTCGTTTACTTCCATTAACTATTGATGGTGAGAAAAAAATATGTATATTTAATAGTGATAAAATAAAAAAATTATTAAATTTTTATAGTTAATTAATAAAATTTCATATTTTTTTACTTTCAGATAAAACATATTAAAAATAATTTATAAATAATTTCCAAAAAAAAAAACTAAAAAGAGTCTCCACTGATCACGGCCACAATTGTCAAATGCTTACGTTGCGTTTAATTTGTCATGTTGCAGTTATCAATCTTGAGGGCGAATATATTTTCAGATTGTACGTGCAAAATTGGTATCCATTCGTTGTATCAATTTTTTTTTCTTTGTTCCTTAAAATTTAGGCAGGATGAATTAAACTCACTAAGACCAGAATTTGCTTTCTAGTTTTAAAACATTTGAAAAGATACTTTCAAATTATTTACTGACAAAATCCTCACATTAATAATATAATTTAGGGAGAATGGCAATTGAAAACCCTGTAAAAAAATAATATAAAACAACAACTTTTAATTTATAAATTCCTGAAATTTTAATTATAAAAAGTTAGTAATATTTTTTAAGAGTTCTTATTTATCATTCTTTTTATAATTTAAACCATCAATCTTGTGAGTTCAGAATATAAGTTAAATCCTCATCAGTTGAATCAAAATTTTATTGGTTAAATCAACCTTATCATCGTCACCCAAGTCGCATTCAGAGGCCCCGTGACGACTGGCGAATATGCTTTCTTACGGCTATGCATGCCACATAATCAAGAGAGACAAGTCGAGGCTCTGATTGTTTCATTGAATTTTTGAATTCTGAGCAGTTAACGTAGCCAAAAATCATGCCCGCTCGCGTCCAAAACATGGGAACTTTTCAACCACTTGACAAAATATTTTATAAAAGGTTAATAATATTAAATTTTTTTTTACAAATATTATTATTAATATTATTAATTATATTGTAAAAAGATATCATATAATAGAAAGTAAAAAATAATCAAGATAAGTTTGATTTTAATTGAAGGTAATCATGAAAAATAGTGATGATTTTTTATCACTTTAATTAATGATACAATTCACGTTTGAGAAATTATTGTATGAATCCAGGTCACCACATCATTTATATATTATTCAACAAAAATATATCATGTTAAATTCATTTAATCTCAGATATCTTTCCTCAAATGTTGCTTTAAATTATTTCAATTTCTTACCTTTTCTCTCTCCTCTCATTTATGATGATGGTAGAGCGAGAGAGAACGCAAAAAATTAAGGGAACACTCGAAATTATTTAAAAAATAATACATAAGATTTTATTTCATTAAACTAATACAATTTTATTGTATAGAGAATGAATAAAGTGATACTTTGATCTATGCAACAATTTTTTATTATTTTCAACTGTTTTGTATCTTCGTAAAGCAGTTAAAAGTATTTTATATTTCATTTTATTATGATTGAATTTACCTCATGCAACCTAAAATCTTAATCAGATGGATAACTTACAATTTAAGTCACCACATAATTCACAAATCTATCTCTAGTTCAATTATTGTGCCAACGTATCTAGATCCAATATTACTCTCCACCTCTCATTCCACGGAGTTTTACCATTAATGGGATAATTGTAGTAATTAAGCACAACATCACAAAATAAATTAAAATAAAATTATAAATAAAATTATAGGAATCAATTAATAGTATGTTTAATTAATTGGGATTTAGATTTGGATCAAATTCCTTGTTAGGATATACAAAAATTTATGAATTTGAATTTATCTCTTATGTTACATTTCTTTTGTAATTTTAATTTTCCTATATATCCTAGTCATTTGAAATTCATTTACTTCAAAACTCTTATTCTATTTGTATTTTTACTATTGATATCTCTATAATTTTCATATATTTTATTTCCCCTCATCGATTGAAAAATATAGGCAAATTCATTATTTTCAAATTTTTATTTTCTTTTCCCTCATCCATTGAAATTTTTTTAGACTATCCTCACAAAAGTTTTTAAATAAATGTTTAAAATGTATTCTAAATGTGAGATTTGAAATGTAAGATTTTAAATATAAAATTTAAATTTAAATTTACCAATCCAAACACTACATGGAATAGAAACTAATATTCTTAATTGAGATCCGTATTTGAAAGATAATTAGCACACCATTTGCTTGCAATGCCTTCGTCTAGACAGCTCCACAAATGTAGCTATCTTTAGTTTTGTGAATTAATTAAAATAATATTTAAGACTATACTTTTTTTTTATGCAATTTAAGACTATAATTTAGTTTATCTACAAGAAGCACAAAACATTTTAAGTCCTTCACGTTTTCTATAGGATAAGGTTACGTACAAAACGTTATTTTCAGACTAAGAAATCGGTGGGCAGCCTCTATGCTTGACTGGTTGATTATATAGAAAAGGATTTAGATCCTTTAAAGATTTTTGGAAGTTTTCTTTTCTATTTTTGCTTTTTTTTCATTTTATTATTTTTTTATCAATATAAAATTTTCTCTCTCTTACTTAAAAAATTTTAATTAAAGTGAATTCTCAACTTTAGATGATCAATTCCTTTATAGAAAATGCCTAATTAAGGATGCAATCATAAAATACTCAAGTTTTCCCCTTTAATTAATTTAGCCAAGTTAATTAAGAGATTCATTAATTAGCCAAGGATATATATACATATATACTCCCTCCATTTAAAAATATAAGATATTTTTAACCGAATCTCACCACCCAATAAAATAGTTACCTACTTTCTAACTAACCCTATTTTTCTATATTTATCCCTATTAAACACCCTACAATAAATATAAAGTCATTATCAATAGAAGTATTTTTTTTTAAAAAAAAAGTAATAATTATATCTCAAAAAATTAAAAATATTTTATATTTTTTAATATCTAACTCCTTAAAAAAATATTTTATATTTTTAAACGGAAGGAGTGTGTATATATATATATATTTTTTTTTTTTTTGACATTGAAGCCGAAGATATTATTAGTTGAAAGTGATATTTGAATCCGTTACGTCACATCTGATTCATTAACCAAATGGAAAAAACTTACTCCCATTTCTATACATAAGAAAACAAAAATTGTATTACACGATTTAAAAAAATTAATTAATCATAATAATTTTATTTAAAAATAAAAAAATTAGACTAAAATAGCCTATATTAATCAACATAAGCAAACATTAATTATTTTTTATTAATGTAAATTATAAGAGGTGATTTAGGAAATGTATAATAAATACTTATTGAAATAAGTGATTTTGCTTATATAAAAAAATAAGTAAAAATGATAGTTTTTCCTATAAATAGAAATAGAGGAAGTATATACTTACCCTTATATACTTAAGGTTCTTGTTTTCAATTTATTCTACAATAAATTTTTATTGTTAATATTATTAACATATTAAAATCCACATATCTTCATTTGATTAAATGAAAGTGTATTAAGTACATAACGGTAAGTATATAAGTCTTGGCCCAACCAAATTTAATTAATTAAAGTCATCACAAACTCTTTATATTAAGAGAAAATAATATTTTTTTGTTTAACGAGGTGCCCATATTTAGTGTCCAATTATGCCTTGAATAGAATTGTATCCAATAGGAGGATACATGTAAGTAATAAAAGAGAAAAGAAAATAATAATTTTGCAGACACCGTCTAATAGGAATCAATGAGTTATTACATTTAATTAAGGATCACAAAACTGACGAACTCTCAACAATGGATCATGTCCTTAGTTGAGATTAAAAATAAATTAAGTTGACTAAATAGCCTGTTATTAAAACAATAAAAATTACGAAACAATAACAATGTATATATGTATTCTCAAACAATAAGCATGTTTACATTATTACCGTAACCAAAAACATCAATGTTTATATAGGAAAGCAGATAAGATTAAAGTATAAAGGTTAAGAAAGAATATGAATATGAACATATGACTTTATTTATATAAAGAAAAGTACAG